CAATGGTTTTAGCATATTCAGTTGTGCATCCATATCATAATCAATTGTAGAACATTTTCATCATTTCAAATGGAAACCATGTAGTCTTTACTGTGACCCTCCCAATCCCGCCACACTTTGTGGCGTACCTTGTGACTGTCTTTGTTCATTTAGGATAATGTTTTCTTTCTTTTTTTTTTTAAGATTTTATTTATTTATTTGATAGAGAGAGAGAGAGCACAAGCAGGGGGAGAGGCAGGCAGAGGGAGAGGGAGAAGCAGGCTCCCCACCAAGCAGAGAGCCTGAAGGAGGGCTTGATCCCAAGACCCCGGGATCAATACCCCAGCTGAAGGCAGACATTTAACCAACTGAGCCACCCAGGCGCCCCAAAGCATAATGTTTTCAAGGTAGTTTCAGGTCATATGAGCAGTTCATTTCTTTTTACTGCTGAGTAACATTCCATAGTACAAATTTACCACAGTCTGTTCTATTTTGTCTATTCACCAGTTGATGAACACGTAGCAGAGTAGGGCAGTGTTTGTCCTGATGCCTGGGTTTATGTTCTGCTTCCACCATTTGTCATCCATGTGTTTTTTGGACAAACCCTCTTCATCTCAAGAGTCCTCATCTAGAAGTTAGGATTATAATAATAGCTTGCTACAATCTTATTGTACAACGGAATGTTTCATAAAATAGGGGTATAAATATGAGGGGGAAAAAAGCAAGAAATCACATTGTGAGAAATATCTTTCAATTTTCTTCAACTTCATGCAATTAAATTAAGAAGAGTCTTGGTTTGTGCCAGTAGGGTTCTTCTTCAACACCTCTCTAAAACATTTGCAAGATGGAAAGAGCAGGTAGTTATCTAACTAAAATTTTAAAATGTTGTTGGCTTTAGCATTTAGTAATTTGAATAAACTAATTATTAATGCCACCTTCCTGAAGGCCCTTAATCCTGAATTTTGCTCCACTGCCTAGACTTCATGCCAGGCTCAAGGACAAGGGGTCATTTACATTTTCTTTCCTATCTTCTGCCTCTTTAAACATAGATGGAATTGTCCTTGGCCTCAGGGTAAACAAAATCAAGCTATAAAGTGAGCACAGCTCTCTAGCAAAAGATTCCCACTGATTTGGCAGAAAATTAAAGAAGGGAATAGGGCAGGACAGGGAAAGGAAACAGTCATGTGTTTTTCACTTTCCAGAAGTGTGAAATCATCCACAACGGGGCAACCATTTGGTCAAGTGTTTACATGGTCCTCTCCATTGCCACTACTATGGAAGCAGGAACAAGCTAAGACTCACACTGTGAAGTGTAACAGCCCAAACAGGTGGTTTTGTGGCTCAGGTTATTTACTCTTTCTTGCTTCCTTTCTGCCCATCCTCTATAGGTCCTCCACCTTCCAGCATTCCCAGTGAAGTAGCTTCTCCTTAGGGACTTACTTCTAGGAGAGTGAATGAGCTTCTCTTAACTGGTGGGAGTAGTACTAATGGGGTGCATCCCAGGCAAAACGTTGTCTTACGTGCTCCAGTTTTAACTTAAATTGTTGTGTCAATTTGCGTTTTGTGCCAACATTCACTCCTGCTTGTTTTCATTTTACATTTATTTACCTTCAGGAAAAAAAATTTAAACTTTTTTTTTCAAATCTTTTGATCTGATTTATACACTAGAAAGATGCCACTAATGAATGGTCTGTGATCCCAAACTTTAGTAGGAGTCAAAGAATACATAGGGATTTGGGGTCAGAGAGCAGTGACTTCATCTTGACCTTCCAACCAGTCTGATGGTCAGGTTGTGACTATCTGAGATAGATAATATAGGCCCTGGGATACAGAATTCAAAGATGCAGTTTTTGCCTTGAAATAAAATACTAGCTCGAGCAATGCCTGGGTGGCTCAGTTGGTTAAGCATCTGCCTTCGGCTCAGGTCATGGTCCCAGGGTCCTGGGATCGAGTCCCGCATCGGGCTCCCTGCTCAGCAGGAAGCCTGCTTCTCCCTCTCCCACTCCCCTTGCTTGTGTTCCCTCTCTCGCTGTCTCTCTCTGTCAAATAAATAAATAAAATCTTTAAAAAAATAAAACAGAATGCCATTAAAAACTACATTGTTCTGTAATAATATACAATACCTGCTTTCCACCAAAGAAAAATTAAATGGATGGGACACCCGGGTGGCTCAGTCGGTTAAGCGTCTGCCTTTGGCTCAGGTCATGATCCAGGGTCCCGGGATCGAGCCCCGCATTGGGCTCCTTACTCGGAGGGGAGCCTGCTTCTCCCTCTGCCTGCTGCTCCCCTGCTTATGCTCTCTTTCTCTCTCTCTCTGGCAAAAGAAAAAAAAGATCTTAAAAATACTAGCTCAAACCTGGGCAAAGAAAGATCATAGGAAAACACTTTTTATCCAAATAACATCTATTGAGCACCTACTACAATGCCTGGCACTATTCTATGCAGCAGAATCATGGTCAAAAGTACAGACTCTGGAATCAGACTTATTGAGTCCAAATCCCAGTTCTACCACTGACTAGTTGTGTGACCTTAGACAATGTACTTCACTACTCTGTGCTTCCATTTCTTCATCTATAAAAGGAAGACAATAAATAGTACCTACCGCAGAATATTATTATGAGGACAAAATGAGTTCATATTTTTAAAACACTTATGGGTAGTGCCTAGCACATAGGGAATGGTATATACATTTTGTTAAATAAATAAAAATAGGCACCGAGAAACAAAGCAAAGTCCTGTTCTCAGAGATTTAAATTCTAGCAGGGAGAGAAATAATAAACTAATAAACATATTATATAATAAAATACTGTGATAGATACTAAAAGGAGAAATAAATCAGCCCCAAGGATAAGGGTGTAGTTTGGATAGTGTGGCCTGGGAAGGTGTCTCTGAAAAGTGATAGTATTAGGGTTCTCCAGAGAAACAGAAGCAATATAGCTAGCTAGCTAGGTAGATAGGAAAAGAGAGAATGAGGGAGAGATTTATTATAAGATATTAGCTCTTGTGATTATGGAGGTTGAGGAATCCCAAGATCTGACATCTATAATCTGCAGATGCACAAAAGCTGGTGGTATAGTTCAAAAGCCCGAGAGCCAACAGCCAATGGGAGAGTCCATTCCAACTCTGAAGGCCTGAGAACAGGGAGCAGTTCTCAACAGATTGGATACTACCTACCTACATTGAGGAGGGCAAACCACTTTACTCAGTTTACCAATTCGAATGCTAATCTCTCCTGGAAACACCTTCACAGACATGACCAAAAACAATGTTTAACCAGATATCTGGGCATTCCATGATCGAGTCCAACTGACACATAAATTTTAACTATCACAGTGACATTTGGGAGTGCCTGTATAAAGGGGGTCGGGGGAAGTGCACCATGTAGCTATCTGAGCAGATACTGTTCCAGCCAGAAAGAACAGTGAGTACAAAGGCCCTGGGGTACAGTATTTCAAACATTCAAAGAGCTACAAAAAAGCCATTGAGACTGGAGTGAAGTAAACTTATATAGCTGTTCTCTGAACCCAAAACAGCTCTTAGGGCTCTGAAAGTGGCCCTAAACACAAGCTATTTGAAATAACCTAAGAATTAATCATTGTCACCTATAGATAGTGGGATTTGGGGTCATTTTAAATTTCGTTTGAATTATCCCAATTTTCTCCTATAGACTTAATCTCTTTAGAATTAGGGGATTTAAAAACCCCACAACTACTTTTTTTTTAATAGTTGAAGAATTGAAGAATGAGAACTTGTATTTCCAGATGTTGCAGAAACTTCAATCTTGGTTGTTTTTTTCCTACTTCTGGGAGTCCTAGCACCAGCATGCTGAGACTGATAAGCCTCCCTCGTTTCATGAAGTTGCTAACTGATGAAATACGGGGACTCTCTTATCATGAACAGGCATGCAGGGATTAGAGGACATGGGTTAGGGGAGCAGTTCATCAGAAGTGATAAGCTAAGAAAGCAAGAAGCCACCCAAGAATCTCCTCACTCAAAGGGGCTTTCGGAATTTGATCTTATATGAAAGGTCCAGAAAAGTGGAACTCCTTCAAGTCAGTCCACCTAGATATAGTCATAACTAAGCTGTAACTGAAACTAATTTGTCTAAAACTTAGCAAAAAAAAATGTTATTTTACTTAGCATACTTTCTTATATTGAGAGGACAATGATGAAGAAAAGTGAGTTTTAAAAATTGATTCATCTGTTCTACAAATATCTATGGAGAAAGGCACTGTGCTGTGCAGTAAAGAAAGTGCCTCAGAGAACTTAGAGCCCAGTGGGAGAGACAACATGGAAAAAGTATGCAAATAATTATGTATTTACAACTGAGGTTTGTGCCAGGAAGGAAAAGGCAAGAGTGCAAAGAAAACTATGAAAGGAAGACTTAATCTAGACTGGGGTGCCTGGGGATGAGTCCTAGGAAGTGCTATCTAAGCTGAAAGCTAAAGGATTAGACTTAGAGGAGGAGAAAGAAACCCTGAAGAGAAGGGGAATGTTCCAGGAAACAGAACTGCAAATGTGAAGGCCTTCTATGTCAGAGGCACCTGGGCAGTTCTAAGAAAGGAGGGAAGCTTGGGTGTTGGGAAACAGTGAGAGAGATCGAATTGCTGAGACCTGAAAATTGACAGGTAGGCAAGAGCCAGAGGATGCAGTGCCTTTTCCCTGTATGAAGGACGTTGAAATTACCTTCGGAGCAATGCCAGGTCAATGAAGATCTTACGCAGAGGGCTGGCAAGATTGGTACTCTAAAGACATTGCTCTGAGATTCACAGTGTAACAAACCCAAACATAGTCTATTTTCCATAAATGACCACATTCAGCTAAAGGAACTAGGAATACTGTAGATGCAAAAGCAGAGGTAAAAGTAACTGTGTAACTTCTTCATTGAAAAGATACAGTCTTAATCTTGATTACAAATATTTATGCTTTATATTGACAGCCTACTAATAATTATTTGGCAAAATAAAACTCTGATCTTAACAATGTTCATAGATTTTTATTATTTTGGTTGGCTCCAAACAAGTATTGTCATTTTAATCTGGTTTAGATAAGTGAGCAGTAAGAAAAAATGAAGTAGGATTGGATCATAAAATTCAGTGTTTGACAGAGAATTTTATTTGCCTACAAATTGTACAAAAATGCCCATTTTGTTTTCAAAATTTTGTCAACTTCCCATCAGACCACCAGAGAAATCTACTCAAAGTTGGGTTTATTAAATTTACTGCAGCAGAGGGCAGTGCCACCTTGACTCAATTGTGACTCAGGAGGGGAGGTGGGTGGATTAAGGAAGGATTACAGATTAAGGCTTTGAAGGTCTAGATTCTAGTGGTTTAAAGAAGGTCCTTCCAGGTGCAGACCTGGTTGGAACTGGGAGGAGTTTATGACAGCAAAGTGAGGATTTTAAAGTAATTTTTGATAGCAAACTGTTGTCAGAGAAGCAAGCTCTTTTCCAGGTGAGCAAGGGGTTATCTTAATAGGAGAGCTGTTCCTACAGATGATCTTCCCAGATACACTGACTGGCAAGCATATCCTAAGGTAAATAGTGAAGTTACATATTCTTTATAGTTTTATATTCCTGGGCAAGATTATACTGGAAGAAAGAATTAGTCAGGTAGTCTCAATTTCCACTTTTCCTTTAAAGAATTCTCCTTTTAAAATCCACTAAGGGGCACCTCGTTGGCTCAGTAGGAAGAGCATGAGACTCTTGATTTTGGGGTCATAAATTTGAACCCCACATAGGATATGTAGAGATTACTTAAATAAAACTTTTTAAAAAATTCACTAATACAAGAGATTAATGAAATATAGTTCAGAAAAATAACTGCAGCAAGTATGGCAAAGGATTACTATCTCAATATATGAAGAACAAAATACTAAATATATATGCTGCTGTATGTTGTTCATATGCTAGAAAGTCTTTAAATAATGAAGACTCAAATAAGTTAAAAAAGTGTAAAAAGTTACACCATGCAAATGCTAGTCATAAGAAAGCTGGAGTGGCTGTGTAAGCTAAGTAGACTTAAGGATGAGGAATATTAGCAGAGATAGAGATATAGTTCACAACAAAAAATCAATTCATCAAGAAGACATAACAATACAAACATATATGCACCTAATAACAGTCTCAAAACAGACTGTTACATGAAAACAAAAGTGATGGGTGCCTGGGTGGCTCAGCTGGTTAAGCTTCTGCTTTCAGCTCAGGTCATGATTCCGGGGTCCTGGGATCGAGCCCCACATCAGGCTCCCTGCTCAGCAGAGAGTCTGTTTCTCCCTCTCCCACTGCCCCTCCCCCCACCCAGTTCCTGCTCTCTCTCTCTCCCAAATAAATAAAAATCTTTAAAGAAAAAAAGAAAACAAAAGTGACAAAACAGAGAGAATTTGAGTATTTCGTAATTATTGTTGGTTGTTTTGTCACTTTTCTCCTAGTAACTAATACAAAAATGGATAGAAAAAAAAAGATACAGAAACTTAAAGAGCCACTAAGTCAGCAGTCCTTCCTTGTCCTCAATCCCTACACCTCATCAATCACAAAGTCTTGACAATATAACCTCCTCTGCATTTCTTAAATCTGTTCCCTCATCCACATTTCCATGGGTTGCAGACTTGGACTGACCGCCTTCCTTCATTAGCCAGCAGCAACCCAATTTCCCCTTGGTAACCAGGATCAATCACCCAGCCAGTGACCCCTTTTTCACTGCTTAGCATTTAAGTGGCATGAGGAACCCAAAATGGTAGGAGGGAGTACCAGCTACCAAAATACTAGAACTATGTCAGTGTTCACTAGTGGAATATTCTTTCACTGGACATTGGAACCTTCAAACCCACTGAACCCAATGATTACAGATTGGGAAGAAAATCTTCCTTAAGTGGATTATTATGCTTAAAAACAAAAGGCCTATCAACAAGAGCCAAACTATGGAAAGAGCCCAAATGTCCACTGACTGATGAATGGATAAAGGTATGGTATATACATACAATGGAATATTAATCAGCCATCAAAAGGAATGAAATCTTGTCATTTGCAGTGACATGGATGGAGCTAGGGTGTATTATGCTAAGCAAATTAAGTCAGAGAAAGACAAATACCATATGATTTCACTCATATGTGGAATTTAAGAAACAAAACAGATGAACATATGGGAAGGGGGTAAAAAAAAGAGAGAGGGAAACAAACCATAAGAGACTCTGTACAATAGAGAACAAACTGAGGGTTGCTGAGGAGAGGTAGGTGGGGGGTGGGCTAAATCAGTGATGGGTATTAAGGAGGGCACTGGTTATAATGAGTATTGGGTATTATACGTAAGTGATAAATCACTAAATTCTACTCCTGAAGACAATATTACACTATACGTTAATTAGCTAGAATTTAAACAAAAATTTGAAAAAAAAATTAAAATTAAAAATAAAATAAAGGTAAAAGGCCATGGGGGTGCTTGGCTGGCTCATTGGTGGAGCATGCAACTCTTGATATCAGGGTTGTAAGTTAAAGCCCCATTTTGGGTGTAGAGATTACTTAAAAATAATAATTATAATAATAAAATAAAAGTAAAAAGCCATACAATGGAATATTATTCAGCCATAAAAAGGAATGAAGTATTGATACATTCTACAACATGGATGAACTTTGAAAACATCTTACTAAATGAAAGGAGCCACATATATATAAGGGCCACATGTTATATCATTTCATTCATAAGAAATACCCAGAACAGGCAAATCCACAGAGGCAGAAAATAGATGAGTGATTACCTGGGGCTGGGGGGGGGAGGGGAAATTGAGGGACACCACTAAGGGTACCAGCTTTTTTTAGAGATAATGACAGTGTTCTGGAATCAGATAGTGGTGATGGTTGTGCTTTGTGAATATACTTTAAAAAAATCACTGCATTGTACACTTTAGATGTATATGTGAATTACATCTCAATTTTTTAAAAACAAGGAAAAAACTGAATAGAACCATTCTGGACTTCCACCCCTTGGTTCCTGGGCTCATGTATTTGGCTATGAGGGAGATGTCACCATGTACTGTCTGCTGATTTAAGTCAATTATTCATCCTGTACAACAGCACCCCAATCCTGTAAGGTAATTTTCTTTTATTCATATAGTAACTGAGTTTTTAGCAGGCCATTCTACCATTTTGTCAAGCGAGATGTTGGCTTGGGGCTTGTGGTAATGTTGGTGAATCTTGTGAGTATAATTCCACTGCATTCCATCCTTCTCTGTAAATATGTTCCTTGGTCTGAGATGACTTGTATGGAACATGAATAGCAATGAATAAGGCCTTCTGTTTAGTGCTGGTAGAAGAATTTGGGGCAGGAAAGCTAAGCCATATCTGAAATATGTTTCTATGCCCAAGAGGAAAAATTGCTCCTCCCTCCATTATGGAAAATGTCCAATGCATCAATCTGCCTCCAAGTAGCTCATCAGTTCCTTGGAGAACGGTGTGCTCTGTCAGGGACTCAGCATGTCTCTGACTCAAAGCACGCGGGTACCTAGCAGAGGCAGAAGTGAGAAGTCCATGCAGAGCCTCCTTCCCTGTTGCCATCCACTTTATAAATGGGCCTATTAAGCAAACAGCAGGGTGGCTGGTGAAAGAGGTTGAATGACCCACAGGACTGGATAAACTATCCATCTGATTACTGAGAGCCTACTCTGCAGTGGATGCCCTCTGATGGGCACTGATATGGGTTGCAGATTTGTCATACCATGCACATTCTGAGAGGTCTTCCACATGATTTTCCCCCAGACTTCCTTAACACCAATGTGTCAATCTTGTTCTAAGTTTCTGACCAGCAGGTGAACCCATTAGCCACTGTCCATGAATTAATATTGACTCATACATCAGAATGTCTATCCACCTAAGTCCAAAGTTGATAACCAGATGCACTGGCTCCTCAGTTACTTTGGTTCTTGCTTAATAGTTTATCAAACCAGATAGGGAATTGTGTATATATGTTCTGATAGTTATTTAATGGGGTTTTTTTGCCTATTTAGTCAGTCTGTAGATGCTATGAAGGTGAATGAACTAGTGCTTTGTCTCAACTTCACATTTAATCACACCCAAGAATTTGCTCTTATAAAGGCTGTGGGGTTTTCAGTATAAGTAACTCAAAAGCTTAAAAGAATTATTTTCATCTGTTCCTGAAACTATGAAACATATGTTCCTCCACTATGGCAGACCATAGTGAGACTGGCTTTATCACTGTCTTTTAGTATCATCTCTACATAGAACTATCGGATAGTTCTGGCTGGAGTCAACATACTGTACAAACCAATTCATAAACCAGGACCTTACTTTCCTTTTGTTCACTCCTCATGCAGCCGAATGTGTGGACAGACGAAAGCCAGAGAAGCAGAAAGCCCCAGGTATGACAGAACACTGGGATGACTTGACTATATGTTTTAATTATGCCTTAAGATCTGCTTGGATTGTAACGAATATACTATTTTCATTTAATAATGAAATGCTGCAGCACCAATCCAATTATATATATTATATATATATATATATATTAAAGATTTATTTATTTGAGAGAGAGAGTGAGCACACATGTGCAAGGGGGGGAAGGGCAGAGAGAGAGAGAATCTCCAGCAGACTTCCCCTGAGTGTAGAGCCTTACATGGGGCTCGATCCCAGGACCTGAGGATCATGACCTGAGTTGAAATCAAGAGTCAGATGCTTAACTAACTGAGCCACCCAGCCCCCCCACCCCAGTTATATAGTTTTGTGAATCAGAGAGCACCCCATCATGATGGACAGTTCAGGCTGCATAGTCGTTATGTCCTAAGTAGCGATATAGGAACTTCTTTTCAAATGGAGAATACTTGTCAGCAAAACAGGGCATGATGCTAGGATTCTCCTAAAAAAAAACAAAAACAAAAACAAAAACGGTTTTTGAGAGGCTTCATATACCACAGAAATTCCCTGTACCATTTGGCCCTCTGGGCCATCAGGCCTGAGGGGCAGGGCAGCTTGCACCATAGCCTGCATATGCTATAGGGCCCTCTCTTGTGTGAGGCCACTATAAATCTGGAGTTATGTGAATTACATTATAAATTACTTAGGGCAGCATATCCATATATAGTGTATGTTGCCCACAAACCCCACAGAGGTTCTTCAAACACTGTGCCTCTTTCTTTGTAGTGGGTGGTACGACTTGTGCCAGGCTATAGTCAAGATCCCCAAAATCTCATTAATGTGGAAGTCCTTGAATTTTTTATAACATTTATTTCCATCCTCTGGCATGCATGTTTTATTAAATCTTATAGAATGCTTATTCTTTTCTGTCAGGTCCAGTTAGCATAATATCATCACAGAAATGGACCAATGTTCTACAGGGTATCAAGATGACAAATTTCACTCTATAAAAGAAAGGAAAATGTTCGAAGGCAGATGTCTAAGCTACAAGCAGGTATATTCATTGTTATATGTCCATGTCCTAGAGGCTGAAAGAATTATAATCCAGAGGCCAGAAAGCAGCCATGTGCTGAGTCAGCCCACAAGGAACCTCAGACAAGGCCTCAGACAGGCCCTACCAGGGTCCCACCGATAACCTGCACAAGCCTATGGTGATCCCAGTGACAGAGAAATATACTTGTGGAAATTTGCCACCCACTCCGTTAACGCTGTACTATCCAAGAAGGGACTGTGGTCAAATAGCCACATGGAGCTATTTAACTTTAAATTAATTAAAATTAAATAAAATTAAAAATTCAGTTCCTTAATAGACACAGGTGGCTAGCAGCTACAGTGCTAGACATTATAGATACAGAACTATTGGACGATGCCACTATCGAAGTGCTTCTATTCCAAAGTAGGAGTAGCCGGTGATCTTCTCTTAACTAGCCAACAGACAAGGTTCCTGAAGGTCTATCAAACCAAATAGGACAATCTCTACACAGATTCGGCTAGTTACTTAGTGCTGGTTTTGCCCTGTCTGGACTACACCAGGTTGTAGCTGCTACACAGGTGAATGAATCAGCACTCTCCCTCTGCTTCACATTTAATCATATCCAAGAATTTTTTCATAGAAGAACAGTCTATAGGATGTTGGAGTATACTAACTCAAAGGCCATATAAAAGAGTTATTCTTGGGGAGGGGGCACCTGGGTGGTTCGGTTGGTTAGGCATCCAACTCTTGACCTCAGCTCGGGTCTTAATCTCAGGATCATGACTTCAAGCCCCGCATTGGGTTCCATGCTGGGCATAAAGTCTACTTAAAAAAAAAAAAAGAATTATTCTTAGGGAAAAGACAGTCTCTTCATTAAATGCTGCTAAGAAGACTGGACAGCTGTCTGCAGAAGAATGAAACCGGACCACTTTCTTATACCATACACAAAAATAAACTCAAAATGGATTAAAGATCTGAAAGTGAGAGCTGAAACCATAAAACTTCTAGAAGGTAACATAGGCAGTAATTTCTTTGACATCAGCCTTAGCAATATTTTTCTAGATATGTCTCCTCAAATGAAATAAGAGCAAAAATAAAACTATTGGAACTACACCAAAATATAATACTTTTGCCCAGCAAAGCAAACCATCAACAAAACTAAAAGGCAACCTATTGAATGGGAGATGGTATTTGCAAATGATATATCTGATAAAAGATTAACATCCAAAATATATAAAGAACTTAAACAATCATCAGGAGTTAAGATGACAGAGAAGTAGCGGCCCCTGGGCTTTCCTCGCTCCTCAAACACAGCTGTATTGAGTTCAGACCACCTGGAACATCCAGGAAATTGATTGGAGGATTGTAAGAAGGATCTCCACAGTTGGAGGGAGACAGCATGACAGGAGTAAGGTATGTGGAAATGAACTGGGGGAGAGAAAACCTGCCGTGCCATAGAGGGGAGGGAGCCCTTTCCGTGGGAAAAGAGAGAGGGATTGAGAGAGGTACAATGTTGGGTTCACACAAGAAGAAAACCTCTCTGGACCAGGGACTGGGGAGGAATGGGAAGTGAGGATCACAGGTGTTTGGCAAAAAGTGTGTGTTGCTCAAACTTTGAGGTTTTGGAAGTGCACAACTTTTGCCTGAGTGGAGCTGTGGCACGCACTCCTGGGGAGAAGGAGAGCACAGGTCAGAGAATGCACAAAGTGGTGTAGGGATCTCCTGGGTCGCACTGGGAAAGAACGTTCCCCTTCCTGGAGTACATTTGGAAGAAGGTATACTGCCTCTTCCAGGACAAAACCCTGCAGGCACCAGCAAACGGCCTTTCATTGGCAGGGGACAGAAGTGCATGCCGAGGGTGTAACCTGGTCGCTGCTTTTTGTGGTGCTACAACATAGATTCCATGCCATGCACCGGCGTGGACAGTTTTTCTGGGACAAAGGACACTAGTCACAGCATGATGGGGAGGCTCTACCAAGAGGAGAGAGCAGATCTGCGTGGTGCCAGGTCCTTTAAGATGTGGAGTTTTTAATCCCAGCAGTATGCCAAAGACAAAACTCAGGAGAGCTGTGGCACTGGGAGCACTGATGGCCCGGGATTTTCTGTGAGGGCTTCCTGAACAGCAGGGGCTGTGAGATCCCCTGTCCAGGGAGGAGAGAGTGTGGTGGCACCATTTTACCCTCGCCACCAACATGGTCAGACTTCATAGAATAACAGAGCATCCCCCAGTGAAGGCGGGAGCCACTTACACCAAACCCCATTCCCCTGTGCCTGGCAAGGACATATTTTGGGGGGCAGGACTGACTTTGAGCCAGCATGGCGGGCCTATCCCCTGGAAGACCAGCATAGGCAGCACCCTGCATGCACCAAGTCTACTGATCATAGAGTGCTTCAAAGTGTCACCTTCAGTTCTGCTGGAAATAGGACCAGGCTATATATTTTCTTCTTTTTTTCCTTTAGAATCAGGCTCATAGTTTTTGGTCGGTTAGTTTGTTTTTTTCCATTCCTTTTCTTTTATTTGGACCAGACTTCTTTTTTTCTTTTTCGTTTCTTCCTTTCTTTTCCTTGGGAATCAGGCTTATAGTTTTTTGTTTCTTAGTTTTTTCCATTTCCTTGTCTATTTTTTGGATCAAGATTCTATTTTTCTTTTTCTTTTTCTCTTTTTCCTTTCTTTTTCTTTGGAATCAGACTTTTAGGTTTTGATTGTCTATTTTGTTTTTTGTTGTTGTTCCTTTTCCTTTTCTCTTTTTTTTTGGATCGGGTTTTTCTTTTTCTTTCCTTTTCTTTTTTTCCAGGCTTATTTTAACAAACAAATCAAAGCACACCTAGTTAAAGGTCCAAATACTTCCACTGCAAGCAAGGAGGAATTCTGCAGAGGCCTGACCAGAGGGAAAGAGCAGCCAAAATACAACAGCAGAGTGCACACAGCATACACCGAAAACACTTCCTGAAGTGCCAGGCCCTGGACAGAGAATGACCCCTTTTTAACATAGCATTACTCCCAGGTGCAGGAAACATAACAAGCTTTCATAACACGCAAAAGACAGGAACTTACCCAAAATGACAAGATGGAGGAACTCTCCCCAAAAGAAAGGTCAAGAAGAAATCACAGCCATGGATAAGCTCAAAATAGATATAAGCAATATATATGAACAAGAATTTAGAACAATAATTAGTAGTCAGGAGACCACTAACTGGGCTTGAGAAAAGTATAGAAGACACCAGGGAAACCCTTGCTGCAGAGATAAAGGACCTAAAAACTAGTCAGTCTAAAATAAAAAATGCTATAACTGAGATGCAAAACCAATTGGATGTAATCACAAGGACTGAAGAAGCAGAGAAGATAATAGGTAAAATTATGGAAAATAATGAAGCTGAAAGAAGAAAGAAAGAAAACTATTAGATCACAAAGGTAGACTTAGGGAACTCAGCGATTTCATAAAGCAAAATAATCAAATAATCTCCACATCATAGGAGTCCCAGAAGAGAGGCAGAAAAAGGCACAGATGGTTTATTTGAACAAATTACAGCTGAGAACTTCCCTAATCTGGGGAAGGAAACAGGCATTCAAGTCTAAGAGGCACAGAGAACTCCCCTCAAAATCAACAAAAATAGGTCAACACCATGACATATCATAGTGAAACATGCAAAATACAAAGATTAAAAGAGAAGTCTAAAAGCAGATACAGACAAAAGGTCTTTAATCTATTAGGCTAGACACATGAAGCTAGCAGCAGGGCTGTCCACTGAAACTTGGCAAGCCAGAAAGGTGTGGAAAGAAATATTTAACGTGCTAAATGGGAAAAACATGCAGCCAAGGATACTTTATCTAGCAAGGCTGTCATTCAGAATAGGAGAGACAGTTTCCAAGACAAACAAAAACTAAAGGAGTTCGTGAACACTAAACCAGCTCTGCAAGAAATATTAAAGGGGACATATTGAACGGGAGAGAGAGACCAAAAGCAACAAAAACTAGAAGGAAGAGGGACAGGCTATAGCAACGGTGACTTTACAGATAATACAATGGCACTAAATTCGTATCTTTCAATACTTACTCTGAAAGTAAATGGACTAAATGCTCCAATCAAAAGACACAGGGTATCAGATTGGATAGAAAACAAGACCCATCTATATGTTGCTTACAAGAGACTCATTTTAGACCCCCAAACACCTCCAGATTGAAAGTGAGGGGGTGGAGAACAATTTATCATGCTAGTAGACATCAAAAGAAAGCTGGAGTAGCCATCCTTATATCAGACAAACTAGATTATAAACAAAGTCTGTAATAAGAGATAAAGAAAGACCCTGTATCATAACAAAGGAGTCTACCCAAGAAGATTTAACAATTGTATATATTTATGCCTCTAACTTGGGAGCAGCCAAATATATAAATCAATTAATAACAAACTTAAGGAAACTCATTGATAATACAATAGTAGTAGGAGACTTTAACAACCCACTCACAGCAA